AAATGGATCTTAATACCTTTATATCAAACTCATTTTAAAAATAAAAGGTTGGTTCCAGTAATATGTATTTTGACAGACATAAATTACAATTAAGAGACTTAGACAACAGAGATCTTTATTTCTTTCTGCCCAATTCCCAGGAGATATAGATAAGACCTGCTTGATCAGAGATGCCCTAACAGCTTCCCACACTGAACTCATTAATTAATCTTTAACTGGATGCATGTCCACTCATTACTCCCAAGGGACAAATGGATTTACACTATCTGCTGTGTAATGTAAAAACTGTTTTTAATACTTTATAAAATTTTAATGAGTAGTTTTAAGCTGTAGTCCACATTTTTGTACAGATGTTCTAGATTCTATGTCTCAAACCTTAGACATGAACCCGAAATGACTAAGTCAATAAAAATGGAGAAAAAAAAAAACACCTGTAAAATGCAGAAAAATTATCAAATAATGTTGAAAATACCAGGTGCACATCTTCATATGGTAAATAATAAGTGTACAAATTTTCATACAAATCTATGCAATAGTCTCTGGGAACAGATCCGGACAAAACCACATAATAAAAATGAAAAAAACACCTGTAAAATGCAAAAAAATTATCCAATCATGATGAAAATACCAGGTGCACACCTTCAAATGGCAAAGAATAAGTGTACAAATTTTCAGACAAATCTCGTCTACAGACAGACGGACAGACAGACAGACGGACAAGCTGATTCCAATATACCCCCCCTAAACTTCGTTTGAAGGGGGTATAAAAATGAAAAATAATTACCTCTGCTTTAAAAACTGATTAAATTATTTTACTTCAGTCTTTAAAAATTTCTGAGACACTAACAAGTGAGGCTAGTGGATTTGACATTTTTACTAGCTAAAGTAAAATTTCTACTAGCCCAGAAAAATAATAAAATTTGAAACTAATTACTCATTTCATATATATTTCTTCTGCTTATTTTCTCTTTTTGCATTTTGCTTTTGAGTCAATAATAAATAAATAATGTATAGATACCTTTTAACATGGAAGTATACATTCATCTTTTTCTGATTATTGGACTTCTTCTTCCAAAATGAAGTGAAAGCTAGTGATTTATTTTTTTTTAATCCAAATTTTCAGATACGAATGTTAATATATTTTTGATAACCCTTGTGAATATTTACTCTTCAGTAAATCAGTTGAGTAGTTGGAAATAATTTAATCAATTAATGTGATATCGGGATGGAGGAAATTCGGATTAGTAAAAAAAGACGATAAATTTCATGTTTTTTTTTTTTTTTTTTTTTTTTTTTTTTTTAGAAATAAATAAATATTGTAGAAGTGTTAAAAGAATTAGATAGAGGAGATTTATGAACAAGAGAACCACACTTCTTTGATTTTTTTTTATTGATTGGGGATTTAATAGCAAAACTTGGAAAATACCTGCTTCTTTTTCACTAGCCCGTTGGGCTATTTACTAGCCCATACCAATCTAAACTAACCTCGATTGTAAAAGGAAAAGGTGTTTGTAGAAAAAAAAAACTAAATCACTGACTTCAAACTGGCACAATCATTATAAAAAGTATTAAAATCATGTAAACAAACACTTCTGATCTCCAATGGGCGGCCATTTTTGTTTATACGTGTTATGTAAATTTTGAACCGAATCGAACCGAATTCCGGAATTCTGGATTGGTGCACTGAATCGAACAGTATGAACCGCGGTGCACCGAAATTTTCGGTGCACCGCACAGCCCTACCAACTAGGTATAAAAAGAACCCAATAAATGCACTCTCCTAAACACGGACGGACAGACAGACGGACGCCAGACAAAAAGTGATCAGAAAAGCTCACTTGAGCTCAGGTGAGCTAATAAGGCTTAAGACAGAAACTTGAGATTTTCAGCGATGATAGGACAATATATGAAGATGTGACAAACGTATTTCATTCTCACCAGAATTGCTGCACGCGGATGCTCGCTATGGCCCAAAAAAAGTCCTATCGGGAATTTTAAAATTTCTGACATCTTTTCTATAATATCTTTTTACCTGTAAATATTTTGTTAAAACATATAGAACAAAAGTTGTGTAGAATGTTACTATCTTTCAAAGGATATCAACAATAAGGGGCTGGTCCCTAAAATAAGGGAGCTAGAGGGGCCAAAAGTTTTTTCCAGATATCTCAAAAAGTATTGAGAATTTGCATAGCATCATAGAAGCAAAGTTGTTCCAAAATGACAAGTAGCAGCTAAGGAGATCATTAAATATTTATAATAGAGATAATAGAGGCAAATAGAATGTATCGAGTCATATTATTTCCACCGGAAGTTATTTCTTCCAAACTGGAAGTAGACGAGAAAATGCTCATTTTTCTTTGAAACTTTGAGGGGTGACTCCTCCACACTCAGTGATGAGTTAAAAGTCATTTTGAGTACTTCCGGTCATACCAGAAGTGAACATAAAAGACCGGAAGTTGTTTGAAATTGATAGATTTCACTCTTTCATGTGCTGCTAAGCATATTTTGTAGAATTGATATGAATATTTTTTTCATTAAAAGTTGTTTTACTTTCTTGTATTAATCAAAATTTCCCAATCAAGATCTTATCAGAAATCTAACGGAAGACCTACTCGATGCCCGCAACGAGATCTCATCTAGTTAGGTCTTCCGTTTTCAACGGAAGACCTATAGTGATTCTACTGTTTCTTAATATTATTATTATTTTTATTATTTTTTTGACTTTTTAATTTTGTGCACTCGATTTCTCGAAGACTATTGGATGGATTTACATGAAATTTTTAGGAAAGATGTGTCGTAACAGGAACTTGATCTATCTGAGAGAAAATTTCAAAATTCACTTCCGGTGCAAAGTTACAGACCATTTTCTGGTTTCAAAATGACATTTTGTCCGCAGATAATCTCAAGAACAACACAAGTTATCAATGTGAAAATTTCAGGGATTATAGTTTGTGATAGATACTAGCCGGGTCGCTACTTTTTGTTCGTCGTCGGCTTACGGAAGTGATCAAAGAAATCATAGAATTTCATCTTTTCTTTTTTAAATCAATACTTACATCACATTATTGCATCTCTTTTGTAGTTTCGAAATATGTTGGTCCCACCGGAAACAAAAACGTCAACTTCCGGTTATAAGAGAAAAACTACATAAATTGAGTATTTTTCTTTCCCATTAATATCTTTTGTAGATAAAGTATTTGAAATGAATTTTAAATACGTTTCTCAGACTGCAAATGTCTAGAGTAACATCAAATATCTTAGTAAAATTCACTTCCGGTCACGTGTGTTTCTGTCCTCAAAATGAGAAGTTGTCTGAGCAAGATCTTGGAAACGGTAAGAGATTAAGACACCAAACTTATATGAGCAACAGATCTCAGTATGTAGGCAAAACCATTCCGGTTCAGAGCGTCAGCCGTCAATTCCGGTCGTCACAGGAAGTGATCAAAGAAATCGAAAATTTCAACTTTTCTTTTTTTAATTAAAAATTGCATCACTTTATTGCAACTTTTTCCCAGATTCGAAAGATGTTGGTCCCACCGGAAACAAATACGACAACTTCCGGTAATAAGAGAAAAACTAAATAATTTGAGTATTTACTTTCCCATAAATATTCTTTATAGTTAAAGTATTTGGGACGAATTTTAAGTATGTTATTCATAGTGCAAATGTCTAGAGTAACCTTAAATATCTTTCAAAAATTCACTTCCGGTCGCGTGTTTTCCTGTCCTCAAAAAGAAAAGTCTGAACGAGATCTCAAAAACAGGTAAAAGATTAAAACACCAAACTTTTATGAGTAATAGACTTTGAGGAGTAGGAGAAACCATTTGGGTTAAACGCGTCAGTCGTCACTTCCGCTTGTCACAGGAAGTGATCAAAGAAATCAAAAAGTTTTACTTTTCTTTTTTGAATTAAAACTTGCATCACTTCATTGCATCTTTTTCGCTGTTTTGAAATCTGTTAGATTCCACTGGAAAGAAAAACGTCAACGTTCGGTTTTAGGATATAAACTAGGTTATTTTTATATTTAACTTTCTCATAAATATTGCTTATCGATAAAGTACTTGAAATAATTTAAGGTATGTTGTAGATACTGCAAATGTCTAGAGAAAAGTCAGAGATATTATTTATTTTTAAACTCGCTTCCGGTCGCGTGTTTACCTGTCCTCCAAATTAGAATTTGTTCTCACAATATTGCTCGGCAACAGTAAATAACTGAAGTCTAAAACTTTCAGGACTGATAGTCAGTCATCAGTTTATCTAAATTGTGAGAAATTCGTGTATTGCGGTTACTTCCGGTCGTGACAGGAAGTGATGCAAAAAAGTGAATGGTTAACGGTTAGCACGTTGGATTTCATGCTGACGACCAGGGTAAAACTTTTTCAGCTTGAATTTTCGTATTTATTTTCAGAATTTGACGGAAGACCTCTCATTGCTCGCAATGAGTATCTAGTTGTTTTTATTATTCTTAAATTTATTGTCAAATAATTAAACCATTTAAGTATTACACATGATTCAGAAAAGTTGTATTAAGTGGTTTCTTCCCGAATTTGGCAGATAGGCAATATGCTACCACATGTGACCATTGCATTATTGAAATTGTTCAGGAATGTGTTCTTATGAAATACTGTGCTTATCGTGTGCCTATAATTTGCAATATTAGACATAAAACTTGACACATTAATATGTAACTAATGAAAAAGAAAGTCTCAAGTTTCGGCAAGCTTTCAGTAATATGATTTTTCTAGATCATCCCAGAATCTCAGCTGAGATTATTTTGGACTGATGTCTTTGGCAATGGCATGTACCAAATCTCAACATATATACTTTAGGGCAATTTCAAGTCAAACTTGATGTGCTAGTAAACATTATTCTTGAAAACTGACATTTTACAAGTATCAGTGACCAGTCATCATCAAAAATTGTCGAGAATATTATAATCATTGTCATGTGAATTATGTGACACAAACATAAGACTAAAAGAGTGGTCTTTTTTGCAATACCTGTAAACAGCTATGCAATCAAAAATTCCTCTATAATGTAAATGTGGATGATTGACATAGTCTTCCTGGGTGAATACTTGTTCAATTGCAGGTAGAATCTGCTGAAGGCTCCTCCAGTATCCCTCTATGTTTGGAGTTATTTCTATTTCTTCCTCCATCAGCCTCTGTTGTATGGAGTAATGAAGCTTATGACCCTTTGCAAAAGTCTCTATGGTAAAAAAAAATTATAAAAAGTTTTAATCAAGGTAAGTTGTTGGGACTAATGCATCTTTATGCAATTTCTTAAAGATATACACGCTATAACTTGCGTCAGTTAAAAATAAAGTGGAAAATTATTTATTTTGTTTACCAAATAAAGTTACAAAAATACTGTAAATTACACAATTGAAAATGAACGTGTTATAAAAATCTCAAATTATAACTAGATATTATTGAGATGGTGGCCATCTCAAAGGGCCCCGCTTTCAGCAATGAACATGGAAATGTAAGGTAGCTGGAAAGGGTTTATTTTGAAGAGAAACATTTGTGTACTATTAAGGGATGTGTTGTTTGAGTCTAAAAGGCTTCTATGTTATCCTCGTTATAATAAAAAATGGCACGAAAATCACGAGTGCTCAACACCTTCCATAAAAAAAACGGCACAAAAATCATGAATGCTGCATATCCTCTATGAAAATTGTTGCATATCCTCTATCAGAAATATGGAAGGAAAATCACAAATGATCCATACCCTAAGTCAATTGGTAAGGTTTGAGGCTGACTGGACTTAAGGGAAAGAAATTATGCACCGAACAAAGATTTTAAACAGAGAGGCTATTTTTGAAATTGACCCTTGACCTAGAAACTTTGTTCAAGATCACTGCACATCCACTGACAAGTGGCACTCTGTGAGTTAAGTATGAGCCACATTGGACCAAGGGGAGAAAAGTTATGATCTGGACAAGGATTTTTCATATAATTCTGCTATGACCTTAACCTTAGACCTAGAAACATGGTTCAAGGTCACTGCACACCCTATACCCAAAGGTAGGAGAATACATAATTAGGGCCCCGCTCTGTGGGTGCCCTATAGTGATCAGTCTGTCCTTCCGTCCATCCGTCCATCTGTCCGTCCGAGATCTCTTGTCCGAAGCATATCTTCTCTCTCCTTGGCCCAATCTGGCTCATACTTCACCCACAGAGTGTCTTTGGGTAAAGGGTGTCCAGTGACCTTGAACCATGCTTCTAGGTCTAAGGTCAAGGTCATAGCAGAATTGTATGAAAAATCCTTGTCCGGAGCATATCTTCTCTCCTCTTGATCCAGTGTGGCTCGTACTTCACTCACAGAGTGCCATTGGTCAATGAATGTGCAGTGACCTTGAACAAAGCTTTTAGGTCAAGGGTCAAGGTCAAAAAGCCTCTCTGTTTAAATTTTTGTCCAGAGCATATTTTCTCTCTCCTTGGCCCAATCTGGCTCATACTTCACCCACAGAGTGCCTTTGGAAGACTTTATAGTGATTCTACTGTTTCTTACTATTAAGGTCTTGCGACTTCCTTCGGAAGACCTTATTGTTTTCCATCTATTTTCTATTATTAGGTCTTCCGTTTTCAATGGAAGACTTATAGTGATTCTACTGTTTCTTATTATTAAGGTCTTCCGTCTTCACGGAAGACCTTATAGTGATTCTATTGTTTCTTATTAGGTCTTCCATTTTCAACGGAAGACCTATAGTGATTCTACTGTTTCTTATTAATGTTTTCCGACTTCCTTCGGAAGACCTTATTGTTTTCCGTCTGTTTTCTATTATTATTATTATTCTTTTTTTCATAGTACACACTATATCTCAACTATGCGTGGTTCAATTTGAAAGATTTTTGCAGGGACGATGCATCATGAATATATCTCCAGGGGTGTCCCTCACATTTTTGAAATTCACTTCCGTTCGCGATTTTTGGGGAAAATTGTATTTTTTAAATGGAATTTTGTCCGTTAATTTTCTCGAGAACTGCTAAAGATATGATATTGTAACTCACTGACGTGATAGAACATCAAATGGAAATACGGTGATCGACCTTTATTTTTTGTCGTTCGTACTTCTGGTCGCGAACGGAAGTGAATTCAAAAATGTTAAATTTGCCACTTTTTTGTTTTTCAATATTTTTCTTTAGGATTTACAGGGCTTATAGAGTGTCTTACAAGAATTCTAAATATGTATTCAATATTTTGATGCGTGCATTTATTGCAAAGATATGACCGATCCAAACTTTGTCCCACTGTCTGGGGTTCGAATCCCGCTGGATGCAGTTAATTTTTTTTTTCTTTGTTTCTCTCTTTTTTCAGTTGCTAATGACTTCTCTCTCTTTGAAAACATGTATGGTAGTTTTTGCTGATTTTTAAAAGCTTTTTTGTCAGAGATTCTTTCGAAAACCTTTCGACCTATACTGAATATCTTTGCATCTATAATATAGCCTTCTAAAACTATTTTAAGGATTTCTTTTTGTCCCCAAAGCTTGACCCATTCAAAAGTTGTCACCTCTTTCGCAATAAAACCTTGTTATCGCTACTCCTCCAAAACCGTAAACCTTAGAGATTCCGAACCTTCATCAGTGTCTTTGACTCATTTAGTACTCTCTTCATTCTATCATTGCAAAAGCATTCTTTGGTCCCTTGTATGAGTTACTGCCCCTGAAAGTTTACGCTGCTTACATCTAATGATTTTTTTTTTTTAAACGGTGTATCCTACAGACATGGGACCAACTGCATCGGCATACTTGACTTTGACCTTGAAATATAGGTCAAGGTCAAAGGTCAAGGTCATTTAAAAACATAAGAAATTCCTTATATGTGTGTAAAATATAGCAATTCACCAAATGACCTTGAACTTTGACCTTGACCTTTGACCTTGATACTGGGTCAACTGAAAAGTAAGGACATGCATCCAGCTCCAGTATCAGGTGAAAACATAGAAAGTAAAGATTTCCTTTTTTTTTTTTTGGTAATGACCTTGACCTTTGACCTTTACCTTTGACCTTGATCCAAAGGTCACAATCAGGCTTAAGGATGTGGAAGCAGTTACAAGTCTTAGTTTAAAAGAGGCGTAAAATAAATAATCCACCCCCCTTCTTAAAAAAAATCACATCAACAACAACGTAGAATATTTCTGTGAAATTCAAACCAGACCTCGGATCGACACCATATTTGGTACAAATGTAATATAGACCTCAGAGAAACTTTCTGGGGAGTTTTACGGTGAGTCTTTTAAGTTTATAGAAGTAAATTAAAGTGCAGGTGAATGAAGAAATGATCTAAACCTTTTATCGGCTATTTCTTCAGATGTCGTTAGTAGCATTCGATTTTCCTGATATGATACGACATTTTAATACCAAGCATTCTCTCTTTCTTTTACATTTGGAATTTATTTGATTTTTATTTAGAATTAATCAGTTTCCAGAAATAGCGATTTTCGGTATATTAAAAACAATTCTCGCTTTCATTGTCGTGTTTCCCTTCTAAATATGCATGTTGGGAGTTTAATTTGTGCTACACATATTTAATTTAACCCAAAGAAATGCTTATTTAAATGTTTCATATTTATTTCAGGATATTCAGTCAGAAATGTTAAAATCCGAACCCGACCTTTTAAGCTTACAACAAAGCTTTTTTCAAAAAATTCAGCATGCTCACAATATCGATGAATCGGGCTACAGTCCATTAATACATTTTCATTAGGGAACAGTGTTAACGTTTTCTCACGCACCCCGTCCCTTGTTATTTTATATACTGCTTGCATGTTCAGGAACTATTTCCATTTACGGAACTTCTTTCTTCCCCTACCGATTCTAAAAATATGCTTGTATTTATTCTATAGTCTTAAACAATTAACTTACCCATTTTTATCGGAATGTGTAGCGCAGTGGTTAGCGCACCTGCCTTTCAAACCAAGGGTTTTGAGTTCGATCCCAGCTGGAGGAGGATTTTTTTTGTTTTTTTTTTGTTTTTGCATTTTTTGCATTTTTTTGCTTTTTTTTTTTTGGCATTTTTCTTTTTTTTCAGCCTAAATGACACGAAAACACTTAAAAAGGTGGAAAGGCCTCTAATTGTTCTCTGAACAATTAGTTTACTAGTTATTATAAAGGTCTTTTGATATATATGATAAGATATGAATATGAAACTTGCTGAGGTGAAAGAGCATCAAATGTAGATTTGTTGATGGACCATTATTTTCCGTCGTTCGTACTTCCGGTTGCAAACGGAAGTGAATTCAAAAATGTTAAATTTGTAACTTTTTTGTTTTTCAATATTTTTCTCTGGGATTTACAGGGTTAGTAGAGAGTCTTCTAAGAGTTCTAAGTATTTTTTATCATTTTGATTGATGCATTTATTGCAAAGATATGACCGATCCAAACTTTCTCGTATTGTTGCGGGTTCGAATCCTGCTGGGGCGGGAGATTGTTCCTCTCTTTTTTCAGTTGTAAATGATATTTTTCTCTGTGAAGACATGTATGATAGTTTTTGCTTATTTTTTAAAGCTTTTTTAACAGAGATTCTACAGAAATCCTTTAATAATCATCGTCTATGTTGAAAGACTGTGTTACATAAACGCAAACAAAAAATACCTTCAATAAAGTATTAAATGAAGTGAGGTAGCACAGCGATCTGGAGAAAAGTTAGGTCGGAAGACCACTTGTTCCCCTAGCAACAAGAAACGCATCTAGTTAGGTCTTCCGTTTTCAACGGAAGACCTATAGTGATTCTACTGTTTATTATTAGGTCTTCCGTTTTCAACGGAAGACCTATAGTGATTCTACTGTTTCTTATTATTATTATTAGGTCTTCCGTTTTCAACGGAAGACCTATAGTGATTCTACTGTTTCTTCTTCTTCTTATTATTATTCTTATTTTTTTGACTTTCTAATTTTGTGCACGCGATTTCTCAAAGACTATTGGATGGATTTACATGAAATTTTCAGGAAAAGTGTGTTGTAACATGAACTTGATCTATCTGAGAGATTTTTTGGAAATTCCCTTCCGGTGCAAAGTTACAGACCATTTTCTGATTTCAAAATGACATTTTGTCCGCGGATAATCTCAAGAACGACAAGAGATATCAATGTCAAACTTTCAGGGATTATAGTTCGTGATAGGTACTAGCCGGGTCGCTACTTTTCGTTCGTCGTCGGCACTTCCGGTCGCTTACGGAAGTGATCAAAGAAATCGTAAAATTTCAA